TTATGGAGATAATACTAGCGACTTAATTAAAAAATAAATATTAAAAATCTAGATAAAATATTTCAACACTTCCCTTCAAGTTGGTATAAAAATGTCTTCCATTACTTGGAAAACTAAACTGTCCAACTGTTTCTTGTGAAGCTCTTTAGTCAGAATATTTGCCACTTGATTAATAGATGGAACCAAATCTTTTGTTATGTCATGAAGAACAGGGTGCAGTAGCAGTTGGTGATTTTTTGTCACAGTATACCTTAATCGATAGCGGTATAGAAATCTTTAATTTTTCAAGAAGTTTCTTTAACCATAAAACTTCACAAACTCCATGAGCAACAAAACTGAATTCAGTCTTGGCACTACTTTTCTGGCCACCACATTTTTGTTTTTTACTTCTTTGCATGCCCAAGTTTTCTCCCCACAAAGGTGCAGTATCCTCATGTTAACCTTCTATATGAGACACTTCCAGCCTAGTCAGCATTTCTTATAAACCTCTATCTTTTAGGTGAATGTGATTCCTAAAGAATAATCCTTTTCTACGAGTTCCCTTTAGATACCTAAGGATTCTATAGATTGTTTCAAAATGTCTTTTGACTTGAAGAATGTATAAATTGACTTCGTGATACTTGTTGCAACGGTAATGTCTGGCCGATTATGTGATAGGTAGACTAACCTAGCTACTAGTCTTTAATACTGTTCCTTATTCACCAAATCCTTTGCTTTAGCAACTTGTACTGCATTTCGGATTTAATAGAACTCTTGATTGCGCTACATCCAAGTATACTGGTTTCACTAAGTGGGTCAAGAACACACTCGCCTTTATCTACGAAGATTCCTTCTCTTGGATTTAGCAAACTCCATACCAAGGAAGCGCTTCGAATTTCTAAATCTTTAATCTCAAACTCCTCAGCTAGCTTCTTCTTTAGGGTTTCAATTTCTTCAAAATCATCTTATATGAAGATTATATCATCAATATAAACAATAAGTATGACCAACTTACCTGATCTTCAATGTTTATAGAACATGGTATGGTCAGCTTGACTTTGAGAATATCCATATCCTTTTGTTACCGTATTGAATCTTTCAAATCAGGTCATTGAGGATTTTTTAAGTCCATACAAGAATTTTTTAATCTACGAAGCTTTTTTTCTCCCAAGGTTTTGTGAAATCCAAGTGAAAGATCCATAAGGTTCTTTGAAGCTGCCATTTAAAAAAACATTTTTGCCATCAAGCTGATATAAAGGCCAATTTCTTTCTGCTGCTACAGAGAGAAGAACTCAAATAGAGTTAATCTTGGCCACCAGAGCAAATGTTTTTTGATAGTTTATACTGAAAGTCTGAGTGAACCCTTTTGCTACAAGTATGCCTTATGTCTTGCAATACTCCCATCAATCTTGCATTTCATCGTGAAGGCCCACTTACATCGAACAATTGTCTTACTTCTTGGTATCAACAATTTCCCAAGTTCCACTTGAGAGTATCTAACTCCTCCTTGACTGCTAACCTCCAATACGGGTTACTTAGTGTTTCTTGAATTACTTTGAGCACAGAGACAACAGAAATATTTGATAAAAATATTTCTTCACAATTTTTTCGGTAGGATAGGCACTTTTCAATAGGATATTTTGCAAGATCAAACTCCTTTTCTAGTGGTTATAGGGAGATTTAAATCAGTAAAATCTATGCTTTGTAACAGGGTAAGATCAAGTTTGGGTTTTACCTGTGTTTCTTGGACACCATCATTCAGGTTCTTGATTGGTCTGCAGAAGTTATAGTTGCAACAGTAGTATTTTTAAGAAATTTCCTTCTAGTATAGACCGGAACCTTAGAATTTCTCTGTAGTATTTGTCCCATCGGATCTGATTTCAAAATATTTGGCGTCTATTTAAGACTTTCTTCATTTTTACTACTTTGCGTAGTAATATCCTGCTTCTTAAAAGACAAAATTACTTTAGGTAATGGTTCATAAATTTGTCAGAAATCACTTTTACTTACAATATTCTCTCCCTGAAGGTCATTTGTGCTAAAATAAGATGTTTTTTCCATGAATATCACATCCATACTTCTGTGAGTTTTTTTTTTCTTCTGTAACAGGATCAGAACACTTTGTATCTCTTTTAGTTAGGAGATTAACCAACAAAAACACGTTATTTTAAATTCAAAGTCGAGATTTGATTGAAAAATATATATGAATGAAACAAGTAATACATCCAAAAACCTTCAAAGGAATATCTGAATATATTCAAAAAATTGGAAAATTCTCCTTTAATATGTCTAGAGGAGTGGTAAAGTTCACAACTTGAGTGGGCATTCGTTTTATCAAATAGGATGTCATTAAAATTGCATCTCCACATAAATATTTTAGAATATTCATTGTAAACAAACTAGCCTAATGATTTTAAAAAATTGTCTATTTTTTCTTTCGACAATCCCATTTGTTAAGGAGAGTTACAGCATGCGAATTGATAAACGATGCCCATGGTTTTTTTCTAAAAATCCCCTAAACGTTCATTATGGTTCCGCTATTTGATCTAAGGATACACATATTTGTTTTAAACTGTATTTTAATCATATCATAAAAATGTTTGCAAAGTGTTTCAATTTCATATTTTTTGCTTCTGAGAAAAACCCAACATGTCTAGTATGATCATCAATAAACATTAGAAAAACCTTCTTTCTAAATAAAGTTGTAAGTTTAGAAGGTCTCAAGCATATCTATGAATTAGATAAAATGGGTTTCAGGGACAATAAGATTTTGGCACAGATGTACCCAGTGACCTTTTGATAAATGAGAAATTTCATATTGGTATATATATCTAATGAATTCAAGGGTTTTGGCATAATAAAATAAAAGGGAGAAGGGCATCTTAATGCGATGAGATCCCAATCTCAAAGCAAAACAAAAATAAGAGGGGATATGGCAAAGTCAGTAGACGCTCCGAACTTATTAGATTGACCGTTGTATGGAAACCTACGATGTCATAACTTTCAAATTCAGAAAAATCCTAGAATGAAAAATGGGCAATCCTGAGTCAAATCCTATTTTACAAGGACAAACAAAACAAGAATTAAAAGTGATGAAAAATTCAAACATGTAAACATGGAAATAAATGTCTCACATAAAGAAAACAAGGATGTCCTAGTCTAAGATGACATTGCATTATTTATTCTAAACTAGAATTGAACTCATACTGCTTAAGGCTTGAGTCTTTCTATTCTTGAAGGAAATCTCATCAAAATAATATAATCCGCCTATTTCTCTAGCTGTGACAATCATCATTCCCAAATACTGGTCCTAAAAGCACAAGGAGGGTCATAAAAAATAACACTATTAGAATCTTTAAAGAGTTTACTAACAGACAAGAGGTTACAAGTTTTGGAATGTGGAGAATAGATTTAAGATCTATATCCCTAGATGCATATCTTTGACAAGCTTTCCCTCGAATTTTCACTTCCCTAGGTCGCTAACAATATTGTTAAAACAAAATTGAGATGAAAGACTTGATATGCAATTTAAGCTCTTCAACTAAATCCAAACTTACAACCGAAGCTGATGCTTCCTTGCTGCCTCCATATAACATGCCTGCAAACACTCCTATGACAGTTGCTGTTCCCCAATTGACAGTTCCAGCCAATTTACGAGCATCCTGATTCAAAGCAGGTGATTTGAGCTTCTAAAATATGTATAACAAATTTCAGATAATCATTCCATGCTTGAACATTTAGGAAATTTACAAAACAGATTACAAAAAGACTAGCATACATAGAAATGCAGCACATAGAAACATCAACCGTAACCTTTGCGGATTGGCTTGGCCAGCTTAACTAGGAGCTGAATTCGATTGAGAACTACATAAACAATTGGATTTGAAGTTCACTGAATGAAGCAATCAGGCCTCTTGATGTATTTCAAAAGTATCCTACTTTTCCTTGTTATAAGATAAGAGAGCGAAGAAGCCCCAAAAGTGTCCTGTCTATTAATATTAAAATGAACAATAGCAAATAACTCCAGCACAAATCCAGTTGTTTAATTTTGTTGCAAAAAATGCAATGTAACAGTAACAAGAATCACAAGATCCCCAAGAACATCGACTTGGTAGTTCTAGGCCATATCTACTATATCCATCAAAATCCATAAACAAATTAGAAACAAAAGTTCAAGTATTACAAACAAAATAAGACCATTTAAGAATTTCAGAGAAGTAATCCTAAATTCCAAACGAAGAGTCTTCATTTGATGATCGAAATTGAAGGATAATCTCATATTCAATAATAAAATTAGACTGAGAGAAAGAAACCGTACGTTAGAAACCGTTCCTTCAGTTATTTCCCGGGCTTCCATTGTGACAAGGCGAAAGTAATAAGAATCTCAAATTTTCTCCATAACAAAAGAACGGGATAGTTCTGGGACTGATCCTGATCGTCCGCTTCCGTTTACGCACCAAAGGGCTTCCCTCAGCAAGGAAGCAAAGTTTGAGAAGATAGTAAAGTACGAATGAGTCTCTTGTGATCCGTAATTCACACCTGTTTCATCAAAAGAAATCTTTTATTAAGACTACACTAAACGTAACTTAGAGTAATCAAACAGAGAGGAGACTGTGTGAAAACACAAAAATAATGAATAATGGTTTGTTCGAAAGACAGAGAAAACAAATTAATTTCTAAAACAGAACTTTCATTTTCGACAGACGAACACACAAAATCAGAAATTTATCACAAACAATAAACAGTTTAGAATTCAATTTAAAATTGTCACACACTCACCACTATATTTTCACCTCTTTATTCGATTGATTCTTCACGCGCTGATCATCTCTTTCTCCTCTCGCGTTGTTGGACGTGCTTCCTATTTTCACTTCTTCGGCAGCTCCGTGTCCGCCCTTTCTTTTGTCGTCCCGTGGAGGCGGAAAACAAATAAACAGCATGCAAAACGACGACGTTTTCGGACAAAATGGGCGGATTTGGGTTTGGGCTATTTTCAGATTTGCCCCGGGTTTGTTCCATAGTTTAAATTTTACCTTTTTTTAAGTTTAATTTTATTTATTCCACAATTCAGTAAGCTTCAACATCAAACACTAGAATTTTTATCCTTCTTGCAAATCCAGAAAAGCAAAAAGAAAGTTGACAGAACCGCAAAAGCTAGAGAAATATGGTCTCCATTGACAAAAACAAAACACCCACAAATTAAGATTCCCTCCCAACATGTGAAAAAAAAGCTCCCTAAATAATAAATCGTCGTCTTCTCCACTATCCAAGCAAAGCATATCACTCCCTTTCTTTTCCTCTCTACCCTAAGCCATGACTCTTTCACTCCTCTCTTTCATCATCTTCTTCTTCATACTTTCACCCCCAGATCACTCCCTTACTTCTGCATCTTCCCACATCAACCCATGCCGATCCTACTGCGGAAACATAACCATCGACTACCCATTTTCGCTCCACTACGGCTGCGGCCACCCAGGATTTCGAGATCTCCTCTTTTGCATAAACGACATACTCATGTTCCATATCGACTCCGGCTCGTACCGAGTCCTGGAAATAGACTACGCTTATCACTCACTCACATTACACGACCCCCACATGTCAACCTGCGACACCATCGTCCTCGGCCGCAGAGGTAACGGCTTCGCCATCGAGCAATGGCGAGCTCCCTATTTCAATCCAACGGCTGATAATGTGTTCATGTTAATAGGCTGCTCCAGCCAATCTCCGCTCTTCCAAGGTTTCCCCGGGAAGCATTTGCCGTGCCGGAACGTTTCGGGGATGGGTTGCGAGGAGTACTACGGGTGTCCGGCGTGGGACTTGGTGGGTCATAAAAGGGTCGGGTCGTTTTTTGGGTCAGGGCCACCGGAGTGCTGTTCGGTGGATTTTGAGTCGATTAAGTCTGTAAATCTGAGCAAGCTTGGGTGTGAAGGGTATAGCAGCGCATACAATCTTGCGCCATTGAAGGTTGAGGGAGCGAGTGGTTGGTCGTATGGGATCCGGGTCAAGTACTCGGTTGAGGGGAAGGATGAATTTTGTGGAGCGTGTGAGGCGACGGGTGGCACGTGCGGGTTTGGAGACGATGGGGTTCGTCAGCTTTGCATGTGTGGGGCCGTTAATTCCACGTCAAATTGTGATTCAGGTGACCATCACGCTTGATTTTTCGATTTTTTAGTTATTATTATTACCTATTTTACAAGGACATGTAAAATTGATATATCTTTAAAATATAATTTCTATTTTGTAAAATTTATTTTTTTAATTGTTTTGGAAAAGAATTTAAATGAATTAGGATTTTACTAATTCATTTATATTCTTGAACACTTAGTAATTATATATTTTTTTCCAGAGTATAGAAAATAAATATTGTAAAATTATTTTAAATTTTAATTATATATATTTGTAACAGTTCGACCCGACCCCAATATAAATGATTTACACATTATTTTTAAATTATTAATATACATCGTTTGTAACAGAATAATTATTATCATTTATTTTAAGATTATAGTTAATATTGATGTCTCATATATTAATTATTTTTTTTTATAAAAGATGTATATATTATATAATTTTGCTGCCTATATAATATTTATTAATTTCTATGCTTAAAAATATATCCCTTCTTAAAGATTAGATTATGTAAGGATAAAGCAATTTAAATAAATCTAAAATTTGTTGGAACCTGCAGTTAGTTCATCATCGGGTACAGCACGATCAGTGGTGAACATGTTCACAGGTATGTATGTATCTTGCTTTTATTTTTGTTTTTGTTACATATAAATATATATATATATATTGTAACGGTTCCAAAAATTTAAATGAAAATGTATGTATAAAAAATTTTAAATGTGGAAGCGTAATAAAAATTTTGATTAACATCCCTTATACAATAAGAAAAAACGCATCCAACATATGAAAGAATAAGCTGATTAAAAGAAATACTCGAAATAAAAACTATAAATAGAACTATAAAGTATCTAAACGTCTAACTCGCCCTCTTCCTGTGGAACGGGCTCGGGAACCACGTCTTCCTGATCTGAAATGGTTAAATAAGGAATGAGTTACACTAGTTTAGTAAAAACATCACACTATCTCACTGCCACAGAAGTAAATGTTGGTAGAAGACAAAAAGACCAATGAAGTATAATTATTAACAAACTCATTTATCAATAATAAAAACTTTTACCGTCCACTTACCTCGGTGAGATTCATGAAAATATCATATGGAAACAATAACATTATAACCATCATAAAATCATATACGTTTTGTAACATAACACATGTTATGCTTTGCACTTCAATAATCAGACAACAAATTTCCTCTTTTACCAGCCTACTAGTATCCGTGGGGATCCATAGGGGGTCCCCGCTACACGTGAACCATTAACATTAATAATCTGATTGCAGGGCTGTCTTCATACCCTGTCCGGTATGGGCGCCAAAATCATGAACCTCAATACTCCGTCCGGTATGAGGGTGAAACGGGCCGTCCCCATACCCCGTCCGGTATGGCCGCCAAAACACATAAGGTCTCCATACCCCGTCCGATATGAGAGACCACGTTCCCGTTAGGGTTTCCTACGGACCCGGTCCGTCTACCATCTCCCAGGATATCTAGTCAGGCTGTCCACATTATCCATTTATCAATTCACATAACTTTTTTCCTATTTTTCTTGGTCTCAATTTTCCGATCATACACAAACACGTAAACCAATAATGAAATCCAAACAAAACAACATAACATCGGGTTCACCACAATTCAAACCATAATAAAAGAAATCATGATTCATGCATACGAAACCATAAAATAAATACATCAAATACCATACTGCATTTAATACTGAAAAATAGATCAAACAACAACTGACCAACAATATATCAGATTTCGATTTTCTTTTCAAAAACACTCCTAGAATCCAAAATTTCACCCCATTTTTCCAAAATTAATTTCAATTAAATCTCAAAAATAATTTTACCATATTTTATTATTATTATTATTATTATTATTAAATTAAATTAAAATCTTATAAATTAAATATTAAAAAATTAAATTAAAATTCTAATATATATATATAAATAATAAGAAAAAATAAAAATAATAAATTGGGTGTTACATATATATATATATATGTTTCATAAAATTGAATGTAAAAAGATGATGATGATAATAATAATAATAATCTCTTCAAGATACCCAAAACACATTACTATATTTTAAAACAAAAGTTGGTTTTATCTATTAATTATAATACAATTTTATATTTCAGTAATTTTTGAGATATGCAAATTACAAAATAAAACTTATATTTTGTATTTTTCCTTGACGGACAAATTTAAAAATATAAATTCTTAAAATATATTTTTAATTAATATAGTATGTATATGTTTGAAATTGAAATTTGCAGGTATTTTTGCGAGTATTTCAATATGGATGACAGCAACCAATAGCTTCCGCTTCAGATAACTTTTAAATTATATCTTTTATTCGAAAAAATTAGTCGTATAAGTATTAATTTATTTCACATTGTAAATTTAGTACGAGTTAATATTTATATGTGTAATTTTATAAACTTTTATTTTTGTTTATAGAATTGCATTTATCATTTATTTAAAATTTAAATGGTTAATTAAGGTGATTTTCTTTCTTTTGAAATTTTATTATTAAACTGCATTTGAGTTTCTAAATTATGACTTGTATTACAATTTAACATTTTATTTTTATGTATTCTAAAATAATTTGAATTGTCCCCAAATTAATCCAAACGTAAGAAAGAGAAAATTGTGTGTCTACACGTGTGTGTGTGTGTGTGTGTGTGTGTGTATACATATGGTTTTAATTGATTTCTTAAACATATTTTGATGCATGAAATGATTCTCATTTTTTTTAACTATTAATTATTTTCAAAATTAACCGTATTTACCATTTCAAGCGGAATAATTTTATCTACATAATTTAGTATAAATCTATTTACAGAAATAAATAAATAAAATATTAAATTTCCCAAATTTATAAAGTTATTTTTTAAAAAAGAAAACTTCAGTATTTTTGTTATTTAGTTAAATACACAAACATAATTTTAAATTATTATATTAATACATCTTGAAATTATTGTATAAGTTAAGAATGTTAGATCATTTTATTATGTGAGCATATATCATATTTTGTAGTAAATTGGTGTATTTTCATTAAATACACATTAAATAAATAAGATTTTGGAGAAATTGGTGAAGAGCATAAATGTGTTCGGAGAACTGAAAAAAGAGAGCTTAAGTTTTGTGAAATGAAAAAAAAAAATGAGGATTAATTTATAATAAGGAATCACAATGGTATTTATACACCAAACATAACTTAATACTATTTATAAAATTAACCCTAAATTAGGAGTATTTATTTTTTAACCCGTTATTTACAAGTAATTACAAAGATCATATCTATTCCAATACCCCCCCCCCCTTTATACACCAAACATAAATTAATACTATTTATAAAATTAACCCTAAATTAAGAGTATTTATATTTTAACACGTTATTTACAAGTAATTACAAATATCATATCTATTCTACCCCCCGGCTCAATTGGAGCTTACAAGTTTTGAAAATCCAACTTGCCTAGAACAGTTTGAAATTGAGAAGTAACAAGGTGTTTGGTAAAACAATATGCCAACTAATGAGATGAGAAAATGAACGATAACCAAAGAAGACAATCATAAATATTTTGCCAAACCACATGACAATTAATTTCAATATATTTTGTACATTCATGAAAGACAAAAATCTCAACTATCTTGATAATGATAAGTTATCACAATACAACAAGGCTGTGTACACTCATAAGTGCACGGTACTCAAACTTCAAAAATGATCGAGATATAGTCTATTACTTCTTAGTTTTCTAATAGACAAGCGTATCATCAAGAAAAATACAAAAGCCTGTAAGACTTCCTTGAGTGGCATAAAAAGCCTAGTCGGATGTCCGGTATGAGGGTGAAACAGGTCATCCCCATACCTCATCTGGTATGAGTACCAAAATACTAATCCTCGATACCCCGTCCGGTATAAGGCAACGTTCACGGTAAGGTTCCTTATGTACTCGGTCCGTTCACCATCTCCCAGGATATCCAGTAAGGCTACCATTCATTCATCCATTCACTTAATCAAGCAATTTTTCATTTACATTTAATTTTTAATTTCACAATTTAACTGTAAATCATGCAAAACAAACAATACATGCATCAAGAAAACACAACCGAATCATCTTACCAATTTCAGTGTATTATCATGC